GAACAACCTTAGTTCACCACCCTTGCACTTATGCATTATAATACTGTCTAATTATGTGATCACATACTATTTTTCCACAGGACCCCAGCCTCATTCACTGAAGAGGTATTCCTTTTTTTTGGTCACCCTCATTCAGTACTTTACTTAATTCACAGCATCCAAACCCTGCACTTAATACAAGATTAATAATTTCTTCCTGAGGGTTTATTTCTATGGGTCTCTTCGTAGTAACTGGCTGCTTCAAAAACATTCATGAATTTATGTTCAAGGCACTCCTGTGAGGAGAGGAGTTATTATTGTACCAATTTTACAGCTGGGGAATGGTGGCACAGAGAGAATAATGCCAAAATTGTCAGCTGGATATCCAACTTGAGAAACCTAGGGTCCTGAATTTTCAGAGTACATAACATGTTTATAGCACATTATGTGTTTAAAGCACAGCTCTTATTGACTTCGGTTGCAGTTGTGAGTACTTAGTTATTCTGCAAGTCTGGACCCAGATGTCTCACATTGGGCATCTAGAAAATGAGGAACACACAATCAGTGACCACCTGTGGAAAAATTTGGTTTAAATGACTTACCCAGCATCACACAAGAAGACTGTGGCATAGGGAATGATAGTATCCAATTCTCCAGAGCAGCATTCAATTGCCCTAATAGGAGACCATTCATTCTCTTCCTGCAATCTCCTGCCTCATTCCCATTACACACCTTCCAGCTTCTGCAACAAAGGAGTCAAGAGATCAAAAAGACAATCTCCTTCAATAAACAGCCCTGATTCATTCCCACAGTAGATCCAGCCTGCACATGGAATGATGCTAGGATCCTTTGGGGGCAGGGTGGGGAATTGCATGTGGTCATGTATTTAAATACTATATCATAATGCTTATGCAGCAAGGGAGCTGAATAAGGTTTCATGGGCATCTTTAATTCCTACTTTTCCTAAGTTTTCAGTATTTGACTTTGTGACCTTAATGTTTTTTCAAATAAAAATTTTACTATTACTATTATTGCTAATGTAGTTTCCCCAAGTTAAAAAAAAAAACCCTGCACTTCCATCATGGGGAACGATACTGACTCCAAACTTGGATCATCAGCAACATTTGGACCCTTAGTTCTGCACCACAGACCTCTTCCACTTGAAATAACGGGGTAACTTGTAGCATTAGTTGGCAGTTATCCTCAATAAGGACCAACCAACCAATAGAAGGGGATGAGATACACACTTTGCCAGTGGACAACTATTTAAAGACAACAGAAGAATGTAGGGACTCGGGCTGCCTGGGCTGAGTTTCACATTCTGGAAGGGAGTATTATCTAGTGGTTATAGACACTTCTACCCCTGTGTCCTTCTGCTCCTATCCAACCCCATTCCATTCTGCACCTACATTGCCCCAGCCCCTTCCTCACACTCTGGTTCCTGGAACCCACTCTTCCCTGACTCCTCTTCTACTCTTGTTTCCCCTTTAATCCTCTGCATTCAACTCAGGCTGCAGCCTTCTCCATGCTACCTTGGCACCAGCATTGAGAACACAGGTTTGCTGCTTCCATTTCCTGTGCCCAGCAGCACAGAGCAGCCAGGAGCAACAGTTTCAGGGAAAGTTCTGCTCAGTCTTTGCAGCCTTGGTGTCACAGGCCTGTTGCAGCCTTGCAGGCACATTGCACTCACATCTTTTCAGACAGTTACACAGCGTAGATTAGTTCAAGCCAAGTTGCTGGTCTTGTTTATTCACTCATTCAACAAAGAGTAACTCACTGTTTAATCACTCAAGTTCATATCCATCCTGAGTCCATGAAAATACCATCTGACCTTAGATAGCAATCTAAGCCATAGATCTGATAATCTACATATGGTTAAAATTTGATGCAAGAGTCCTGGTCAGTTTCCTCCCTTGTTCAGGAGGCCCCAGCACTCCTCCCAGAGCTAGGTTGTACTTCAGACAATCCCTCTCCCGCTCTCCTTAAGGCAGGAGCCTCCTAGCTCTCCTTTTTGGAGCTGGAGTTGTAGTTTAGGCTAGCTGAAGAGCATCAGACAGCTTCTTCTCCAGCTGGCCCTTTTCCCACTCCATCCTTCCATCCTCAGGCTAGGAGCATTCAGTAAACTGACTTTCACCTGCTATTATCTTCTCCCTGATACACTCAGGATCCTGCAGAAGCCTTCTTGCTGCCTGTAGTATATACAGATATCTGTCCTGCTACAAAGGAGGAGACAGCATTTATGCTGACCCCTACTCTCAGCTCATTCCTTATTGGCTGAGTGAGAGAGGCACCCTCATTGACCCTCCCTACAAGGCTCCAGGACCTTAAAGATACAATAACAAGATTCCTTCTAAATGCTACTTCTTCCTAGAACCCTTTCCCCCTCTCCTCATAGCTCCTCAGGCTTCATATTTCAGAGCACCCCAGACTCTTAAAGAACATGCCATGTGATAGGTGACTGCTAGACACCATTTAAAGGGGCAGATCACCCCATTACACTTAGGATAGAACATGCTTATTTCACTAGAAGGATGGCATATCCACAGTGTGGTCAACGTATAGGAGTTGTGAGGGGATGAAACATGCTCAGTGCATACACAATCTTCAGAGAATTTAGCTGCCAAATTTTTACAAGTCTCTACTCAGCAAATTGTCCAAATTTAGGTGTATTTTCATGGGGACATCAGGGCAACCCCTACCCCCTCATCATCAAGGCAAATCCCAAAGCCTCCTTCTAGATTGAGCAGAATCCAGGTCAGTCTCTAGCTAGGACCTTAAGACCATCCGTCTGGATGTTCAATTTATATTTGTCATTGGTGAGCTTATCATGCCCCTGTCAGGGCCTATAACAGGGGGTGGCAACCTTCGGCACATGGCCCACCAGGGTAATCCGCTGATGGGCCGCAAGACATTTTGTTTACATTGACCATCCGCAGGCACAGCCCCCTGCAGCTCCCAGTGTCTGCGATTCGCCGTTCCCAGACAATGGGAGCTGTGGGAAGTGGCTGCCAACATGTCCCTGCAACCCGTGTTGCTTCTCGCAGCTCCCGTTGGCCGGGAATGGTGAACCATGGCCACTGGGAGCTGTGGGGGGCCATGTCTGTGGTCAGTCAAAGTAAACAAAATGTTTCACGGACCACCAGCAGATTAACGTGATGGGACGTGTGCCGAAAGTTGCCGACCCCAGCTTATAACATGGTGGCCTGACCTAGTGGTCAGAGCAGGGGCAGAGTTAGGGTTGCAGTCAGAAATCACACCAAAGGTCCAAAGTCAGTGTCAGAATCCAAAGCCACACCACGAGTCAATCCCAAAGCAGAGTCAGGAGCCACACCAAAGTCAATGTCAGGGTTAGAGTTCTAGCCATGTGAAGGGTCAAACCAGAGTCAGTCTCTAGAATGAGGGCAAGGAAACAGAAACCAGGAGCAGAACATGGGCAAGAAGCAAGAACCAGGCAGGAACTAGGAAGAAGGAATGGTAACAAGAGCAGGAACCAGGCAAGGAGGTAGGAACTTGGTCTCAGAGATCTGGTCAGCAGCAGGCCTAACAACAAGTTGCTCATGGAACAGGAATAGGAAGCTTTATGCCTGGTGGTGTCTAATCAACATGATGGTAGTGACCAGCAATTTACTTTCATCTGGATTAATAGCCCAGCTGAGTCACAGGGCGCTAAAAGCCATTAAGTCAATGGATGGTGGGGTGTAGACTGCATTTCCCTCAGCTACCCTTGTGGTGTGGTGGTGCAGTAGGTAAAAATCTGGCTCAGCATCCCTGGATTTGAGGCACCGGACAGCTGCCAAAATTTGGGTGATCACATGATTGCTGACCATATATTGGCATTCCTTGGTCAACATGCTTTGTAATTTGTTGGTTTTCCATATGTAAACTTTGTATAACCATGGTTCTGTAGATGTGCAGCTTTCTAATAAACCTGATGCCACAACAACTCCACAGAGGCCACTGAAGGACCCCGAACATGGCAGCAGCTGCTACTACATGAGCATCTACATCTTTCAGCACTGTATATGATGCTACCCAAGTATCTGACAGTTGCCCTCTGCTTGATATCCCATCTGGGCAGGTTATTACAGAGTGGAGGCTACATGATGGTAGTGGCCAGTGATTTACTTTCATCTGGATTAATAACCAGACCAAAGCACACTGCTTCTTGCCTAACCAGATCAGCCATCAGCAGCAGCAATTCACCAAACTACACCAACAAGACAATGTCATCATTCAAGGTCTAGAAGCAAATCAGTGTTCAGCTCAACACTGCTGACAGCTGCCTCTTCAAGCTTATCCATCAACCAATTAATGCTAATATTGAACAATGGTGATGACAGGATACAGCCTCGCTGAACTCCTGTGGAAATAGGAAATGCCATATATCTGCCATTAACTTAAAAACGGCTTTCTGTTCCATTATATAGAGTTCTTCTATCATTGATTCACATCATCAGATCCCATTCAGTTTCCTTAATGCCCTGAAATGAAAGGCACGATGGAAGTCTATAAAAAGTGCGGCATGTGACTTATTAAATTCAGCCATCATCTCAAAAAGCTGTCTCAAGATGCATCTTAAGAAGTGAGTTTTTTACCCACAAAAGCTTATGCCCAAATAAATCTGTTAGTCTTTAAGGTGCCAACGGACTCCTCGTTGTTTCTGAAGATAAAGATAGTGGACCAACAGGTCTAATGAGCACAATGAGTATCCCATCCTTTGTCATAAAGGACTTCACCGAATCAGGGCAATGACATGGAAGCAAAGACAGTTGAGCCTCCCCTCTGCTCCCACCAAATTTCAAGTCGCTGCTGCAAAGCATGGAGGTGTTACAACTTTTTAATTAAATGGTTGTAAGAAATTTTCAAATAACATAGTTTTCCCTAATCTCATTCTCAGAAATGGCTGAACCTCTTTAGCTGAAACCTTACAAAATGTTCAGCCTTAAGAAGACACAGAGCGTGGAAAATTTTAGCCCAAACAGTTACAGTTTGGCAAAGTTACAAGCAGCTGAAAACAGGGTCTTATAATGGGAAGTTTGGGGCAACCTTAACCTAGGTGGCATCACTAGCTTCACCCATAATAATTGTAAACATCTAGATGAATGTGCTATCCTTCCAATTGACTGCATAATTATAATGTGTCTTGCCCTCATCCTATTGCTTCCCCAACCCCAGCCTGTCTTATTGTCTCAGTCTCTGGGTCTGGTTAATGGAATTACTCATGTGAGTAAAGTTACACAGGTGATTATGTGTTTGTCCGTTTGGAGCCCAGGATTGTAAGTTCTTATGGGCAAGGAATCTACCTTTATTTTATTTGTAAAATGCTATACCTAACTGTGATGCTATATCGATAACAAGAATACAAATAAACTTTTACATTATAGAATGTCTTTGAACTTCTGTGTTTCTGGTTGAACCTCAACACAAACTTAACCTTAGTTCAACATTTGCATTCTGTTGAAAATAAAGTCAACAAAATTTTTTTTCCCTATGATGAATAACAACAGCCACTTACATTATCCATTGATGGAATAATCAGAAACCTGAAGGAAACTCAAGCACCTGGAATTTATTTTCCACTGTGGTTTTGGTCCCATTTGCACTACTACTAATACATGCTTAATTGCTAAATTTAGTTATAGTTCCATCATGTTTAAATCAGGTTTAAAAAAGTTGATGGTTTAAACTGAATCATACCAAAGTTCAAAACAATATCATGATGTGGTGGAGTTTATGATATGA